ACCTAAGGCTCAAATGAAATAAATCTTGAAAACTGTCATATTTTTTCCCAATAAGCTGCATGCAGGAGATTCCTCTTCCATATGGTACATCAAAAGACAGTCCAACCTTTTCCATCTCCTCTACCAGGTAGTAAAACGGACCACCTTCAAAGGCCATCTAGTCCCACCCCCCCTGCCACGAGCAGGGACATCTTCAACTAGACCAGGTTGATCAAAACCCCATCCAACCTGACCTGGAATGTTTCCAGGGATGGGGAATCTGCCACCTCTCTGGGCAACCTGGGCCAGTGTTTTACCATCCTTATTATAAAAAATTTCTTCCTTAGACCTAGTCTGAATCATTTCTCTTTTAGTTTAAAACCTTTAGAATCATAGAATCATTCAGGTTGGAAAAGACCCTTGTGATCATTGAGTCCAACCATCAACCCCACTCTACAAAAAGTAAAGTACAAAGTTCTCCCCTACACCATATCCCCCAGCACCACATCTAAATGACTCTTAAACACATTCAGGGATGGTGACTCAACCCTCTCCCTGGGCAGCCTATTCCAGAGTCTGACCACTCTCTCTGTGAAGAATTGTTTCCTAATGTTCAGTCTAAACCTCCCCTGTTGGAGCTTGAAGCCGTTCCCTCTCGTTCTGTCACTAATGACCTGTGAGAAGAGACCAGCACCAACCTCTCTACAGTGTCCTTTCAAGTAGTTGTAGAGAGTGATGAGAGGTCTCCCCTCAGCCTCCTCTTCCTCAAACGTTACCCCTTTTCCTATTCCTATAGGCCCTGCTAAAAAGTCTGTCCTGAAAATGAGCCTCTGTGATTGACGTATCTTGAGTCTTTTAAGCCCAAGACAAAAAAAAAAAAAAAAAAAATCATATTTTTCTCCTTATAAGTGCTTCCATTCACAGCATCCCTTTCCCAGCAGCCCATCCTGGCATTCCCTGCCCTGGGAGATGAACTGAGCCAAAGGCTGGTGCTCCCAAGGCTTAAACTGTCCCATTTCCACCAGCTTTGGTTAAACACAGCCCAGAGCCAGGAGTGGGAGAATTGTGCTGTGTGACAGGAGTAAACTGAAACACCCCCACAGTTTGTGATTGAAAGCAATTATGGGGGAAGCAGAAATAGGGCATAATTTATCTTATTTATCTTATCTTAGAGTTGGCTGTTCCAATTTAGCAGGTATCTGAAGTGGGGTAGCGAGATTCCTCACCCACACACAGCCCTGTGCCGGGCGAACCAGGGCCAGTGTTTCTCCAGGTTGTCCATCATGTTGCAAGTTAAGGCCCAGGGTTTGCTTTCACCTGCGTTTTGACCCCAATTGACTCAAACCACCAGCAGAGTCAAGATGGAAGTGGGTTTGCATGAATTTTCTGGAGCAGTGATGGTGATCCAGGGGCCCCTGAGTGGGTCTGGAGATCCCAGATCAGTGGGGTCCTGCTGGTGAGACTCTTCCAGGCCATCCACATACTCCACTTGCTTGGAATGCACCTCTCCTATGAGGACAGGTTGAGAGGGTTGGGGGGGTTCAGCCTGGAGAAGAGAAGGGAGGCCTTGGAGCCCCTTCCAGTCCCTAAAGTGCGGGGCTCCAGGAAAGCTGGGGAGGGACTCTTGATGAGGGAGGGGAGCCCTAGGAGGAGGGGGAAGGGTTTGACCCTGAAAGAGGGGAGATGGAGCTGAGATGTGGGGAAGAACTTGTTTGGTGGGAGGGTGGTGAGAGCCTGGCCCAGGTTGCCCCGAGAAGCTGTGGCTGCCCCATCCCTGGAGGGGTTCAAGGCCAGGTTGGAGGGGGCTTGGAGCAACCTGGTGTGGTGGGAGGTGTCCCTGCCCAGGGCAGGGGGTGGCACTGGGATGGAGCTTTAAGGTCCCTTCCCACCCAAACCCTTCTATAACTTTGTGATTCTATAAAACACGGGGCTTCGTTCCTCCTGAACATTTCTGCAGAGGCTGTTTGGTCAGAGACATGGCTTTATCTGCCAGCAATTAGACAGTCGTAGCTTCTCCAGCTGAATTTAGAGGGTTTTATTGATCAGCAAAGCATTATTTATCCATTTCTCCAGCCATCCAGGAAAATGGCTTCTTTACTGCTCTCTAGAGGAGCAATGTTCAGGACAGGGCACAGGTTCCTGAAACAAACCTACTGTAAAATATCAGCCCAGGTATGACTCATACATGCAAAGATATTTTTGGGCTTCATATGAAGCTGGCAGACATGCAGAATTTTCAGCATAATTTAAACCCAAATTAGTAGTTTGACCTAATGCAAATCAAACGTTGGAAACGAAAGCCAAACAGATTTGTTTTCTTACCTCAAAACTGCACAGAATCTGAGATTCCTGGAAAAAAAAAAAAAAAAAAAAAAAGAAGAAATGCATCATCCCTATTTTATGAGGAAACCAGTGACCATGCTGTAAATGTGCCATTTGCTGTAGCACCAGTTTTTTTCTCCCTGGTAGCTTTTGTGACCGTGCTGGATCATCTTCACAGCAATTTTACAAGGTTAGGAGCCAAGTGAGACATGATTGTTTTTGGAACTGAGACGGGTTTTGGTTGTTGGGTTGGTTTTTTTTTAATTATTTGTTGAAATCTGTGACATGTAGAATGTCAAGATCTGCACCAACAGAAAAGAGAGACATTAAGTGCTAAAACAAGAGTTTGGGGGCAACTCTCGTTACAACAGAGCAGGGTTAAGGCAGAGCAGCTGCTGGATTTGGACGGTTTCTCAGCTGCTTGTTTAGCACTGACTATTCCTCGTGCTGTGGAAAATTTTCAGGGAAAAAAAAAAAGGCATTTCTGTGCAGTGAAGCAAGATCTAGGCAGCAGAACAGGTGGAGTTTAAAGGCTTTTTAGATATCTCTTCAATGGCCGAGATCTAGGCAGCAGAACAGGTGGAGTTTAACGGCTTTTTTAGATATCTCTTCAACGGCCAAGATCTGAGGTACCTTCAGAGACTTTTGAGGATCTAAGTCAGTCTGCAACAGCTGTGGGTTTGGTCTTTCCCATTTTGTTTACGGCCACCGACTGCCAGTTGTCTGATCCACACTTTGGGTGCCAGAGGAAAGGGCATCACAGCTTCAGACTGGCTGAGGCTGGAAGGGACCTCTGGAGATCACCTGGGCCAACCCCCTGGTTAAGCAGGGCCAGTTGCCCAGGACTACATCCAGGTGGGTTTTGGATATCTCCAAGGATGGAGACTCCACAACCCCCCTGGGCAACCTGCGCTGGTGTTTGACAACCCCTGCAGTGAAAAAGTGTTTACTTGTGTTTTAAAGGAATTCCTTGCCCATTGCCTCCTATTGTCTCATTGGACAATACTGGAAAGAGTCTGGTGCCGTTTACTTGTGTTTTAAAGGAATTCCTTGCCTCCTATTGTCTCACTGGACAATACTGGAAAGAGTCTGGTGCTCTCATCTTCATTCCCTCCTCTCAGGTATTGATAAGATCCCCCCTCCAAGCCTTCTCCTCTTCAGGCTGAGCAGTCCTAGATCTCTCAGCCCCTCCCCATAGGAGAGAACCTCCAGTCCCATCATCGTCTTGGTGGCCCTTTACTGGACTCACTCCAGTAAGTCCATATTTCTCTTGTGCTGGGAAGTCCAAAGCTGGTACAGCACTCCAGGCGTGGCCTCACCAGCACTGAGCAGAGGGGATGGATCCTCTACATCACCAGTCTTCCTTGTCCCAGAAACTGGGAAGAGCTGGCTGAGCATGCTAACATTACAGCAAATTGCTGATGAATAATCTTATACAAAAAATATATATAGGTATACCAGCACTGAGCAGAGGGGATGGATCCTCTCCATCATTGGTCTTCCTGGTCCCAACCCCAGCAACTGGGAAGAGTTGGCTGAAAGTGCTAACATTACAGCAAATTGCTGATGAATAATCTTACACAAACAATATATATAAGTAACAGTATGAATAACAGGATTAAAATTAAGAAATAAAGAGTGTGAGGTCCCACCAAGGTTGAAGTAACTGTTGCTTGCTCGGAAACTCAAGAAGCAGACACAAATGGGCCTTTTGGAGAGGTGAACTTGAGCATAATGGCAGAAGTAACCTGCAAGGATTGCTGAGAAAGGGTGGCCAAGGCTCAGGTCAAACTGAAGGAGCTGATGGGAGGAAATTCTGGCAGGAACCATAACTGTGAACCAAAACTCAGTCGTACACAGTACTGCCAAACAACAGTTTGAAAACAACAGCTCATGCAAAAATTAACTACAGTATTCTCAAATACAGGAGAAAGCTTCGGCTTATCCTATAATAGCAATAAATGTCGTGCCTTTATTGATAGGAGACCAATAGCAGCTGAAACTGGCCATAAAAAACCTCACAGGCAAGAGCAATGGGAGGAAACAGAGCACTGGGAGTTTGCCTGAGCAGGGACCAACACTTCTGGAGCCAACAGTGATGCCTCACCTGATGCCTCTGAACCCTCCCCCTCCTCTATTATAACCTATCTTATTAAAAAAATACATCTTCAGGCGTTCTTTTGGGAACAGTTCTTCACCTACATGTTTACTCAAAGTATAGTCAACTAATATAGTCAAAGGAACGTGCTATTCCTTTGGGAGATTTTTTTCAACACAGGAAATAATGATGAGGAAACTCCTAAACTGAACTCCATTACACACCTGTGATTCAGAAGAACCGGTTCATTTCGCATCTTTTCACCTGACGCCAGAGAAAATGGATTTTTGGAGATGTGGATTTATCGTCACAAAGCAGTGAGAGCCACCTGCCCCCACCTTGTAGGGGATTTCCCACAAGTGACAAACCGGGGGTAGGTTCTCCTTCCATTGCCAATGAGACATCCTGAATTTTGTCTTTTGTCTTACATTTTCTGCAGACTGCTGGGGAAAGTGATGTGGGGATGTTGGGTGTCCTGTATTTGACTGTGGTTGCAGAAGACACAAGCCCGTAGCCGGAGAGAGTGCAAAGAGAGCATTTGGGTTGGTGAGATGGAGTCCCACCAAGGTGTTCATCCCATTCTGACAGTGACGCCTCTCTCTTACTCTTGCAGCAGATGACTCTTGGGGCAGATGAACACCTTCACAACCTTCTCTTTTATCTGCTGTGTCCGCACCCCGTACACCACGGGGTTCAGCAGCGGGGGGAAGAGCACGTAGAGGTTGGCCAGGAGAATGTGGATGTGGTGGGGGATTCCCCGGCCGAAGCGGTGCGTCAAAACGGTGAAAAAAGCAGGAATGTAGAAAAGTAATATAACACAGACGTGAGAGCCACAGGTGTTGAAAGCCTTGTGGCGGGCAGTCCTGGAAGGGAGTCTGAATAACGCCAGGAGAATTAAGACGTAGGAGACAGTGATGAGGACAACATCTACCACAATTGCTGCGAAGGGCACGGCGAGGCCGTAGAGGACATTGATGGAGATGTCGGCCTGGGCCAGGCGGGCGATGCCCATGTGCTCGCAGTAGGTGTGGGGGATGACGTTGTGCCCACAGAAGGGCAGCCGCTTGAGAAGAAATATGCAGGGGAAAATGATGGAGAAACTCCTCAGCAAAGCCACCAGCCCGGTTTTGAGGACGGTTGAGTGGGTCAGCACTGCCGCGTAGCGCAAGGGGTAGCAGATGGCCACAAAGCGGTCAAACGCCATGGCCAGCAGGACCACCGACTCTGCCGAGAAGCTGAAGTGCAGGAAGAACATCTGGGTCAGGCAGGCACCGAAGGAAATCTCCCCAGCCCTGAACCAGAAGAGGGCCAGCATCTTGGGCACGGTGGTGGTTGACAGCACCAGGTCAGAGATGGCCAGCATGGACAGGAAGAGGTACATGGGTTGGTGGAGGCTGCGTTCTGTCCTTATGACGAACAACAGGATGCCGTTCCCCAACAGGGCAGCCAGGTACATGGAGCAGAAGGGGATGGAGATCCAGATGTGCGACTTCTCCATGCCAGGGATGCCAGCCAGGATGAAGGTGGATGGCCTTAGGCTGGTACAGTTGAACGGCAGCATGTTTCCCCTGAAAGCAAAGTCAGAAGACACTGCAGAACGGTATTTTAGATGCTAAAGCTCTTCCATCACTACCACATGCCTCGTATTACCTTCTCTGATCTGGTAAGGGCCACATCCTGGTCTAGTTTGAGCAACCTGGTGTGGTGGGAGGTGTCCCTGCCCAGGGAAGGGGGGTTGGAACTCAATGATCTTTAAGGTCCCTTCCAACTTGAACCATTCTATGATTCTATGATTCTATGACAGCCAGAGGTATGAACCCAAACCACGGACCTATTGTCTGGACCCAAACCACTCCTATTATCTCTAAATGACAACGTCCAAACTTTCTACCTCACTCGGTTTTAACTCTTAAGTGTATTTTTCTTCCAAGTACTTCCACTGAGACCAGAGCGAATGGAGACAGAACCAACCCTTAATGCACAAATACCTTAAATTGATGTTCTCTCAGTCCAGGGTAGAAGGAAGAAGTCGGGATGGAGGGAGGAGAGGTCAAGTGTTCGCGGGGATGCACAAGATGTTCTCAGCCATCAGGGGCTGCAGAAGGGGGGTTGAGGTACCTGGGCTCACACCAGGTCAGAGAACAAAGCCAGCTCTGGGTTGGAAGTTGGTTGCCCGTGTTTCTTCCTTGTCTCCAAACTTCTCTCTCCTTTTCCCCTTGGTTCTGGGACCTGGTTCAACTTGCTTTGCTCCTCTTTGCTGGGGGGAATCTAGCAGAAATAAAATTTAACCAGGCACTTGGAAGGACCTTTGGGTTGGGGAGAAGAACCTGGGTGAGATGGAGACCCCCCCACACCAGCCCAGGAAAGGGATGTGATGCTGCTCTGGAGAGGTCTGAAGGGCGTTGGAGGCTGCCCCAGAGCCAGACTCACATGAGTTAAATCGAGCTGTCATTGTTTTTTTTCAGCAGCTTCTGCAATTCCAGACAGCTCTTATACACCAAATCCCAAAATAGGAATTGCCCGTAACACAGAGAGTGACACAAGTGCTTGAAAACCAAGCAGTGGGGGTTTCTCCTGCCAAAATATTGACCCCATGCATGAGAAAGCCGCTGCATTTCAAACAACAGAGTTGGTTCCCTGTTTGAGCTCAGTAAGAGAGATTTCTCAGGTCTAAAATGTCCTGAACCAAGAAATCCAGGGAGCCCGCTCCACAGAAACAAAGCACGACAGCGGGTCTGTAAAAACAAAATCGGTCAAAATAATAACTCGTTTAAAAAACACTGGCAATGTTTTGAAACGGTTCAGTGCAAATAAAAATACATGTGGCTTATTAACAGACGAAACATTATTAATGCTGATAGCAGGTACATTCTGTGCTGTGGTACCAAAAGCCAGCCGCCTCTCGCAAAATGCAAAGTGTTTGCCTTTAAACATCTGCAAATAAACAAACGTTTAAAGCTGCCGGTGGGAATCTCCACGCAACCAGGAGATGCTCCGTGCAACCAGGAGATGCTCCGTGCCGGGGGGAGCCCCTCGGCGTTAGACCCCTCCCTCCATCGTCTAACCCCCGCTGTTAATCCCCATTAATACCAATAGAGCTGTGAGGATGCACCTACAGCCACCTCTGAGCAGCCGCTTGGCTTCCTCTCTCCTAAAATCTTTTATTCTTAATTTAAACTAAAAGCTGCAGCCTAGGAAAAAAAAAAAAAAAGAAAAAAAGAAAAAAAAATCCAATTCCTCCAGAGCTGCCTGAGGATTCAGAAAGCCTGTTGGCATCACGGCAGGAGGTTTTAGCCACAAGAACCCCCCCGTTTGCCCTGAGCCTCCCCAGAGAAGGGCTCAGCATAAGGATGTGTCCCCCCCAGTGCTGGGGTGGGGGGGTCGAGGGGATGCAGACTCCCCCCCACCGACAAGGAGAGGGGCTGGGGAAAGAAAAACAGGGTGGGAGGGGAAAGGTTTGCTGTGTGATTCACTGCCTCCTAACGAGAGGATGAAAATAATGAGGGTAATAAGAAATAAGTAAACGACAAAGTTAAAAATAAGAAGAAGTAAAAAATGAAGTAAAAAAAAAATAATAATAAAGTAAGAAATAAGTAAATAACACAGTAAAAAATGATAAGGAAATAATAAAGAAAAAAAAATAAAGTGAATAAGAAATAAGTAAATAAAAAAGTAAAAAATGATAAGGAAATAATAAAGTAAAAAAAAAAAGTAAATAAGATGTTAATAAGAAAATAAGAAAATAAGAAAATAAGAAAAGAAATCTCTGGCATGGTCCAGGCAGGTCCCGACTCTCCTGCAGGATGAGCCCTGGGATGCTGCAGATGAGCCGGGAGAGCGGTGGGCACCGGCCGGGGGGGTCCACACTTCATTTTCCCTTCATCACCCCCCCGTGAGGGGTTTCATCGTGTCTGCTTGTGCTGACCCACCACCCCCACCTTGGACTCATCAACCCAAAATACATAATCTCAGCCCCGGAGCGGCCGATCCCGGGGGTGAGCGAGAGAAGGGTCTTTCCACAGTTAGTGTTAAGGAGGAATTTGGTGTCTCTGCACCAGGTTCTCATCGTGCCGAAGATCCTCCTGCCCCTGAACCCACAAGGCAAAGAGCTCACCAGGTCCCCAACCTCAGGAGGAGCTCCGGTCGCCGGCTGCGGTCGGGGCAGGGGCTGTGAGGATGGGGAGGTGGGGACACTTGTACCTTCCTGCAGGGTCCCAAGGGATGGACAACGTGCCGTTCCCCGCTCAGCAGCTCCCTAAGTGCCCCCACACACCTCGGGAGACTTCCCCTGGGGTGTCCTCCCCCCCTTTTTCACACCCCATCTTTGCACCAGACACGTTAGGGTGGTGTCACAGAATCACATGGGGTCTGCAGGGACCTCTGGAGATCATCTCCTCCAACCCCCTGCCAGAGCAGGGCCACCCAGAGCAGGTTGCACAGAAATGTGTCCAGGCAGGGTTTGAATGTCTCCAGAGAAGGAGACTCCACCACCTCCCTGAGCAGCCTCTTCCAGGGCTCTGCCACCCTCACAGCAAAGAAGTTCCTCCTCATGTTGAGATGGAACTTCTCATGTTCAAGTTTGTGCCCATTTCCTCTTGTCCTGTCCCTGGGCACCACTGAAAAAAGACCAGCCCCATCCTCCTGACACCCACCCTTGAAGGATTTATAGGTGTTGATCAGATTCCCCCCTCAGCCTTCTCTTCTCCAGACTAAAAAGACCCAAGTCCCTCAGCCTTTCCTCAGCAGAGAGATGCTCCAGGTCCCTCACATCCTCGTCCCCTCTCCAGCAGTTCCCTGTCCTTCTGGAACTGGGGAGCCCAGAACTGGTCCCAGTGCTCCAGCTGGGGCCTCCCCAGGGGAGAGCAGAGCAGAGGGGCAGGATGACCTCCCTCTCCCCAGGGTACCATTGGCCTTCTTGGACACAAGGGCATATTGTCAGGTCATGGTCATTCTATTGTCTACCAGACTCCCAACTCTCTCAGCCTGTCCTCACAGCAGAGGGGCTCCAGCCCTCCCAGCACCTCCATGGCCTCTGGCCGTGCTCCAACAGCCCCATGTCCTGTGGGTGACTGGATTGATGCTGCAGCAACATCGCTGCTTCAGGGACCTGGAAAGCAGGGTTTGGGCTGCCAAGGATGACACCGGACAGTTGATGTTTATTGTGCTGGCCAGGCTGGAGATGTGAGCTTGGAATCGTCCACCACCACTGCCTGTACCAGGGAAGGAGTTAGTGCCAGGGAACACGGGTGGGCACCAAAGCTCAACCATCTGAACCAAATGGGGAGGGACTCTTGATGAGGGTGGGGAGCCCTAGGAGGAGGGGGAAGGGTTTGACATGGAAAGAAGGGAGATGGAGATGAGATGTGGGGAAGAACTTGTTTGGTGGGAGGGTGGTGAGAGCCTGGCCCAGGTTGCCCCGAGAAGCTGTGGCTACTCCATCCCTGGAGGGGTTCAAGGCCAGGTTGGAGGGGGCTTGGAGCAACCTGCTCTGGTGGGAGGTGTTCCTGCCCAGGGCAGGGGGTGGGACTGGGGGGCTTTAAGGTCCCTTCCCACACAAACCCTTCTGTGACACTCAGTTCTGGTCCTGAGGAAGGGTTTGGAGATGTTCAACCCCCGTGTGTGACACCGAGCAAAGCACAAAGAGTTTGGGATATGCCAGTGGGAGAAGCTCTGAACCGGTGCATGAAAACAAAAGCTTCCGTGCGGCAGTAGATGGGTAGAAACCAGTCGTGAACATACTCGGGATGAAAGTCTGAGTTACAGTCACCAGTGGTGGCTGCCATAACCCCCCTGGACTTCACTCCCGTAGGAGAAGCGGTGGCAGATGAGACAGATTGACTTTCAGAACAGCGTTTGCTCGGTTGAGGAGAGGCTGGTGCCCGCAGCGACAGGAATTAGATGGCTTAGACACTCCCTGTCCCTCTGCTGTCAGGACAGATTTCAAAAATAAAAAAAAAAAAAGAGGAAAGCAGCTGTCAAAGCACCGCTGTTTGTTTTGGAGTCCAAATGGGAGACAAGCTCATTTATCATCTGGTCTATCACCTATCATCTATCATCTCTGCATCTCTCTTCCTAACTTGTTTTACAAAAAGCATATTTTCCCTCTCTGGTGCCTTTTCTCGGCATGTTTTTTCCCCGCACACCCCCCTGGGTCACGGGTTCTATCTGTGAAGGGGGAGCACCACGTTCAGGTGGGGTTTTCCCTCACACAGGAAGGTCCTCAGTCCTGTTGCTGTTGAACGTGAGCAATCCTTGCAGCCAGGAGGAAATGGAGCCTCATGGTTGGAAGAAGAACGCCACAGCACACCACCCGGTGACGTGCACCCCACTGCTTTTACTGGGTGAAGTACAACCATCAGCAAGGGAGGGACTGGAACTGCTGGGATCGGACCAACCCCCCTTATGGTGTCTCCTTGGGTGGTGGTCCTTTCGCCAGTATTTCGGCTGCTGCGCTGACATCACCCTCAGCATCGATCAGTGCCTGCAGGTTTGCACCCTGGTCCTGGAAGCCCATGGCAACGAGCTGCTCCATTTTTCCCTCAAACCTGGCCTGTGGCACCTCATCATCCGTCACCATCTGACTTTCTTCTTCACACTCATCTGACATCAAAACCTCATCCTCCTCCTCACACTCGCTACTTTGAGCCGAGTCCTCCATGCTCTCCAGGTCCACCCCCGAGCTCTTCAAACTCAGTATGAAGTCTGGGACCTCTATGGAGAGGGTCTGCAGCCCCAGCTGGATCTGCAGCAGCGCCCGCAGCGCCCTGGGGTTCCTCAGCAAGGAGGAAATCTCGGCATCCTCCATCTCCGGTGGCAGCGGCTGCTCCCACTGGTCTTGAGGTGGAGAACTCCTATCACTTGAGATGTGAAGGCTGCTCAGCAGCCTCTGCACCGGGCTGTTGGGGTTCGTTAACGCACTCTCCAGGTTTTGCATGAGTTCTGCGTTTTCCGTTATCTGCTGGACCATGCTCTGAACCCCCCCCGAGATGGGAACTGCTGCGTCTGCCGCGGCATCCAGGGTCGGGATGGCAAAACCGTCGTCTTCGCTGCTGCTGGTCAATTGGCCATCATGGTCATCAGCGTTATCGCTGATGCTGTCCGACTGCAGAGCCCAGGGGTTGGGCAAGGGCCTGCAGTTTTCGGTATGGGCTGGTAGCCTGGCTCCACTCGGTGGGGGGTGACTGTCCAAGGACTCAAAGGGGTTGTTGCCCAGCTGGGCCTGCAGAGCGTTGAGGATGGGCTCCTCAAATTCCCTGTATAGCTGTTCCAGAGTACTGTACATACCAGGGTTGCTTTCCAAGTTGCTTATGGCCACATCGCGGTTCCTTATCATCTCTTGCATCACGGCAGGATTGTTGGGGGCCTCTAGTATTTCTCTGATGGTGTTGGTGAGAATCCGACCGATCTCGGGATTTTCCTCAGTCAACTGCTGCATCTGAGGGTTGGACATGATGAGATTCCTGACGAGATCGACACGGTCAAGGTCATTCTGTGCCAGGGTGTTCTGTATCATCTCACTTAGCAAGGCATTCACATCTTCCTCTTGAATGCTACTCATCAAGTCCGTCACGTCCTTTTGGTCCAGGCCTATGAGATATGCCCCTGTAGCCCCAAGGAGGAAGCCCAGCAAAAACGGATTGTTGTTGATGGTGTTCACATCCAGGCCAGAGGTGAGGATCTTTAACAAGAGGTCCTCCATGGTCTCAGCTACTATTTCCTGGCTGGAAATCAACAGCCTAGACAAGCTATGATGGATCAAGTATGTGCCTCGCAGATCAGGTGTGCTTCCCAAGTAGAATAAGTTGGAATCACTGTGGCTGGGAGGTCCCACCAGGGTGGTTGCATTTCCTTGATCTGCCTGGCTCTCCTGTGGCCTCTTTTGGGACCTGATGACCACATGGATGCTGACCCCGCTGTTAACTCCATGCTGGCTCAAAGTGTCTTGATCCTTGAGGATCTTCCCAGCAAATATCAGGACCAGAAGACCAGGGAGTGTTTTAAAACGCTTGGCAACTTCTTCTTTGAACTCCTGGATGGTGCTGCTCTGAGCAACCTCAAACTGTTCCTTCTGCTTGAGGGTCTTCACAGTGACTTTGATGATGTTTGAGGGATCCATGGTGACAACAGGTTGACTAGTCTTCTTCACCCCTTTGCTTCCAGACATGGTAGCTCTGAGACCAGGACTGCGGTTTGCCCTGTTGAGAAACAAAGGCTCTGGCAGAAGGTGGGAAGCAACGGGGGGCAATGAATGGCTGCCAGCTAAACCAGGGGGTGGCTGCTGCCCCCGCTATGGTGACAGTTGCTGGGAGGCAGCAGGGACACAGGGATGAGGACCTCCTCTCCCCACAGCACGGACCCAACGCGCATACCAGCCAGATGTTGCGCAGGTGCTCTGCTTGCTCACCACCCCAGCAGTCCCTCCATGTTCCTTATCTTGCTGTGGCCTCCTGCCCACGCAGGATTGCCGTGCAGCCGTCCCTCTGCTATGACATCATCACTGACACCAGAATGAGAAGGACCTAGGAGTGCTCATGGATGAGAAGCTCAACATGAGCCGGCAACATGTACTGGCAGCCCAGAAAGCCAACCACATCCTGGACTACATCAAAAGAAGCGTGGCCAGCAGGGCCAGGGAGGTGATTCTGCCCCTGTGCTCTGCTCTGATGAGACCCCACCTGGAGCACTGTGTCCAGCTCTGGAGTCCTCAACACAGGAAGGACATGGACCTGGTGGAACAGGTCCAGCGGAGGGCCACGGAGATGATCGGAGGGATGGAGCACCTCTGCTGTGAGGACAGGCTGAGGGAGCTGGGATTGTTCAGCCTGGAGAAGAGGAGGCTCCAGGGACACCTTACAGCGGCCTTTCAATATCTGAAGGGAGCCACAGGAGAGATGTGGAGGCACTCTTTGTAGTGACAGGACAAGGGGTAATGGTTTTAAATTGGAAGAGGGGAGATTTAGATGAGATCTCAGGAAGAAATTCTTTACTGTGAGGGTGGTGAGAGCCTGGCCCAGGTTGCCCCGAGAAGCTGTGGCTGCCCCATCCCTGGAGGGGTTCAAGGCCAGGTTGGAGGGGGCTTGGAGCAACCTGGTGTGGTGGGAGATCTCCCTGCCCAGGGCCAGAGGGTTGGAACTTGATGATCTTTCAGGTCCTTTCCAAACCCAACCATTCTATGATTCTATGATTCTATGAGCAGCAAAGGCATTTCCCTCGGAGCTGAGCTCAGGCTTCCTCTCCTCCTCAGTCCCCAGCCGACCTAGTCCTGGGGCACAGGGAAGACCATGACATGGGAAAATCCGGGATTAGGGGACTCCAGGACCATGCCCACTCCAGAGGACCACCACCCCCCGCCACTGGCAGGATGGCCATCGCCAACCCCATTGCAAAGCTCCCACCCTCTCCGCTCTAGACCGTGCTCCCCTGTTTCATGGAACAGCATCCTGCTGCCAGCTTTGCTTCAGGGTGCTCCGCATCCCTTCCCATCCCACCCCAATCAGCTGTTGGGTCTTCCTATGGTTTCGTGCCAGCCCTGCACTAGGATCAGCCCTCATCTCTCCCAGCAATGCAGCCTCCGCTCCGGCCTCCTTCCTGACACCCCCAATTCTGCTGGACAGCAGCTCTGTGGAAAAAGACCTGGGACTTGGTGGACAACAGGATGACCATGAGCCAGCAATGTGCCCTTGTGGCCAAGAAGGCCTATGGTCTCCTGGGAGGCATCAAGAAGAGTGTCACCAGCAGGGAGGTCATCCTCCCCCTCTGCTCTGCCCTGGGGAGGCCCCAGATGGAGCACTGGGACCAGTTCTGGGCTCCCCAGTTCCAGAAGGACAGGGAACTGCTGGAGAGGGTCCAGTGGAGGCTGCGAGGATGATGAGGGGCCTGGAGCATCTCCCTGCTGAGGAAAGGCTGAGGGACCTGGGGCTGTTCAGCTGGAGAAGAGCAGACTAAGAGGGGACCTCATGGATGCTGAGCAATACTTAAAGGGTGGGTGTCAGGAGGACGGGGCCAGTGTTTGTTGAGTGGTGCCCGGTGACAGGACAAGGGGCAATGGGCACAAACCTGAACATGGGAAATTCCATCTCAACATGAGGAGGAACTTCTTTCCTGTGAGGGTGGCAGAGCCCTGGTAGAGGCTGCCCAGGGAGGTGGTGGAGTCTCCTTCTCTGGAGACGTTCAAACCCCCCTGGACACATTCCTGTGGGACCTGGTCTGGGTGGACCTGCTCTGGCAGGGGGTTCGACTGGGGGCTCTCCAGAGGCCCCTGTCAACCCCAGATCATCCTGTGATTCTGTGAAGTATCCCCCTTCCTCAGCCCGAGCCCAGGAGAACCCTCCACGCCACCGGAGACAGCACTGGGAGGTTATCTCAGTTTTATCCCTGAGATCACCCCCAGGTCTGGGGAAATTGCTGACATTTCTGCTCTGCCATTTCAATGCACTTGGCACCATCCTCATCTAATTCCACGTTCGCAGAGCAAACAGACTCCAGCACCATCATCAGCAGAACAGATCTCTCCTTCACCCAGCGGAGAAAGCTGATGTTTGTTTCACAACAAAGGCAAAAGGAGGTAAATTTGTCTGAGCATCCTGTGGCTTTATTTCTTGTTTGTGCGGTGCTTGGAAAAAAGCTTCTCACGGTCCCCAGGTTGGTGCTTAATTTCTTCATCTGCAGAACCTCAAAGACTAGCTTTCATCCAGCCGATATAAAAAATCCAGATACAGACCAGAACAACAGCTTCATTTGTTTAGCCTTTTTTTTTTTTTTTTCATAGCTTTCAGGTTATTTCACATTGGTATTAATTTTCTAAATTACAGAAGTTTTCTTTTAATCAAAAACAGTCGTCTGATGTACTTGAGGAGCGCTTATTTCATACCTGCTACCAACATCACCTGGTAACTCCCCGAGGGACGTGGCATCTCCAAAGCCCCAGCTCTCTCATTTACAATAACAAAGAGCTCCTCTGCAATTATTTTTTTGGACCAAACACACTGGCACACACACCCAAGAACGTGCACTGGTGCCAGATGTCTCTCTCCCTGCAAAATTTGTCCCTCCATCACTGCCACCAACAACCCCTCTCCCTGCTGGCAGCTGTCCCTCTGTGTGGTGAACCCACAGCCCGCTCCTCATCATCACTGGCTGCAGCTCCAGCTCCAGCTCACTGAGAAGCGATGGAAAATTAGTGCTAAATATAGCAATGGAGGTTTTGATCACTGGTTTCTCTGCTGGTTGAGTCTCAGAGCATGGACATGAGAAACAGGAAGGGTCCTTCTGCTTCATTGTGGACATCAGTGGGATCTAGGGAAAACTGGTACCCTGGAATGATAGAATCATAGAATTATAGGTTGGAAAGGACTTTCCATACCATCAAGTCCAACCATCAGCCCAACACTGACAAACCCACCACTGACCCATGCCCCTCAGCACCACGTCTGCATGCTCTTCTCCCAAGGAACAGGCGATGGGACAAGAGGAAACAGCCTCAAGTTGCCCCAGGGGAGGTTTAGGATGGAGATTGGGAACAATTTCTTCCTGGAAAGGGTTGTGAAGCCTTGGCAGAGGCTGCCCAGGGCAGTGGTGGAGTCACCATCCCTGGAGGGATTTTACAGGATGGGTTGACATAGTGCTTAGAGACATGGTTTAGAGATGTTTTTTTATCAGAGTTAGGTTGATGTTTGGACTAGATGATCTTAAAGGTCCTTTCCACCCTGGACAATTCTATGATTCTATGATTCTATGATTCTATCTTCTTCAGGGAGCAATTTCTCACTGAGGAAGCAAAAAAGTTGCCTCCCAACAGCTCCTGTGCTGCTCAAGGCCATGCCTCCTGGCACCCTGTGCACACACATGTCAATGGATTGTCACCTCCTGGGGTATTTTCAGGATTGCTTCCTCCTCAAAGCTGGCAGTGATATCTGCTGGAAGGACAACGCAGCTGGGCTCAAGCAACCTGGGAGATTTCTAGGTGCATCGATGACACAGGCAATGAAGGAGCCAACAAGTAAAGGGGCTCTGCTGGACCTGAAACTTGGAAAGAAGGATGAACTGGTCAGGGGTGTGGATGTTGGAGGCAGCCTTGGCCACAGTGACCATGAGATGGTGGAGGTCAGCATCCTGGGAGGAGGGAGCAGGGCCTAGTCTCAGCTATATCTGCCCTCTTCTGTGGTGGCATCACCATGAGTGGTGGGAAGAGGAACACAGATGGAGCAGGGTGATGGGGAAGAAGTCAGAGAGGCACCATGGCTGCCAACCAGTCTCACCACCAAGCACTAGAGAAGGGGATGTGTCTGGCCTCAAAGACCCAGCAGCGTCTACCCTTGCTTAGAAGAGCCCTTCCAAAGAGAACGGGCAGGAGCATCTCAGAAATGGCACAAATTTTCACATCGCAAGCACACATATATGTAGAGCTGGAGGCCAAAACAGGCACTAGGACTGCTGCTCTGTCCTACACCACTCTGGGATCCAAAGTTTCCACCAAGAAAACAACTTTGTACCCAATAACTTCCATCCTCCACATGGGCAGACACATATATGGGTATAGTCACCGTTGGAAAACCTGCTGTTGCTCTCATGAACTTCTCACAGCAGTTAATTATTCTCGTTATTCAAAATAAGGCTTTTATTTCTAATCAGAACATGCCTGGCTTCATTTTCCGTTCATTCAAATTCATCCTTCCCAAGGGCATCACAATGTTCCTCAGCATCAGATGTTTTCTCCTGGGACTCCCACCCTGCAACGGAGATGCCTCTACAGCTCTTTAAAAATTAATATGTTTAGCACCCTTTATAGAGCCAGTATTTTCTCCAGCACTTCAGTAATACGTCTGTTCTGTCTCCTTCCTCTCTGGAAGTTTTTTAACTTTTTTTTTTTTTTTAATCTTTTAAAACGCTGATCCTAAACCATTTTTTTTTTTTTTTTTTAATCTTTTAAAAAGCTGATCCTAAACCAGAGAAGCTGTGGCTGCCCCATCCCTGTAGGGGTTCAAGGCCAGGTTGGAGGGGGCTTAGAACAACCTGCTCTGGTGGGAAGTGTCCCTGCCCAGGGCAGGGGGTGGCACTGGGGGGGCTGTAAGGTCCCTTCCCACCCAAACCATTCTATGATCCTATGATTCCATGATTCCATGTGTCTGCTGCTGCCCTGTTGGATTTGGACCCCGAGTGTGGACAAAGCAACCAACCAGCCTGGTGGTACCTGGTGGCCAGAGCAGGGGTATAATGCTGGGATGATTGGTCTTCAAGACTTTGGGACCAAGCTCCTGGCCCATGCAGGTGGCCCTCAGGTCTGTGTCCCCCCATTCCCAAATTCACACCCCAACGAATGGGCAGTTTTATGGGGGTGCCTCCTCTCTGCCCTGTTTTCAAGGAAAAGGGACCTGTTTTAGGTCTGTGAAGGGAGGGGAGGGCAGAGGTGTCCTCCCAGAGCCTG